ACGCAACTCTCCTCAAGTGCATGGCCAAGGCCCATTTAAGTGCAAATAAGGGGACCTCAGAGGCACCAAACATGTAATATGGCCAAGAAGGTTACACCCCCCCCAGGGCCCTCCCCCTGTGTCTCCTGTCTTGGTAAGTGGCACCACCCTCTCTGGTTGTTCAAGGCAAAACATAGATGCCACCCGTGACCTTCTCTTTGCTTTGCTCCACATACCCGATCTGTCAGCTTCTGCCACCCATGACCTGCTCTTTGCTTCGCTCCACACACCCGCTCTGTTGGCTTCTGTGTACTTTCCTCTATCCTGTTCCTTAAGGCTGATTGACAAGGAGGATGCTGGGTTAGTACCTACCTAGCCCTCAGCCAGCTCTGCCTGGTCCCTCAGCTGCTCTGGCTGTAAGCAGATATGTCTACGATCAGACGAGTTCTCACCATGTCCGCCTCTAAAACCCCAGTCCAAGCCATCGTCACACCCCGTGAGCGCTGTCCCAGCCCCACCTCTCCTCTTTCCTCTCTAGCTCTGCAGTGTGTCTGCCATGGAACCTTCTAAATGAGCTACATGAACGGGATCTGAGACTCCCCGTTGCATCAGAATAAACCCAGCCCCATCGTGTCCAATGAGACCTTTCCCTGGTCCAGCCCATCTCCCAGGCTCCCTTGCGCCACCTTGCTCTCTAGCCCATACCCGTGGGGTTTGTGTGTCCTCATCACTCTTCCTTCCCTGGACTTCCTCATCATTTAGCTCTCAACTGAAATCAGCCCCTCTGAGAAGCCTTCCTTGGTCGCCCCAGCTCAAAGGCCGCCTGGCCACCATCACAGTGTTATTTATTTTGTCCCCACATGGTCCTTTCTATGAGCTTTCACATTGGGGTTTTCCTTTTCACCCGCTGTCATACACCTGTGCCATCTGCAGGCCCGGGCAGGCTTTGTGATGGGCCCCAGCTCGCGGAGAGGGCGAGGTCCACGGCGGCCACGCCAGTGGCTCGCTGGCCCCCTCGCTCCCTTTCTCCTGCTGCCTCCCGTCCTCACTCTGCCCCCTCCCGTGGGCAGTCACTGAGCCGGGCCCACTGCCGGGCCCGCTGCTCTTCCCTAGAGGCCCGCTGCTCTTCCTGCTGCTCAGTCTTTCTTCCGAGGAGTGGCTGGTGGGTCTGAACCATCAGCCTTCTGGCCACTGGGTGCAGGTGGCACCACAAAGCCCTTTTCATCAACATCCCTGAGTACTTTTGACTCACGGGTGCCCCCAGTGGGACACAGGGAACAGTTCATGGATGCGGCCATCTTTGCCATTTTTTAGTCGGTAGCACCCTCTAGTGGCCATGTGGCATCGTTTGTTCTAAACACACAGCTCAGCTCTGCTGGGTTCGGTGGACCTTCTGGCACTTTCCGAGCCCCTGCTCTGTGTACTTCTCCCAGGGCCAGGTGCACAGGGAACGAGAAGGGCCGCTCCTCGGTGGGTGCAGGTCCGACGAGGCCCAGGTCCACTGGGCTTGAGCACGAAGGAGGCAGTGGTCGGTTCTGTCTGCGGAACTGGAAGACCATCCCAAAGAGACAAGAGACTTGCTTCTTCAGTGGTGGGGGTGACTGGACGGTTAGGGTTAGGGTTGGGGGGGTGACTGGAGGGTGGGGGTGGGGGCACTCCAGGGACAGAGCAGAGACCACACAGGCTGGCCTCCTAGAAATTGTGCAGGGCCCTTGATGGACAGAACAGAGGGAGAGCAGAAGAGTGGGAAATGCCATGCTGGGAACAAGACCACGATGCCTTAGAAAGTAAGCCACTGAAGGTTCTTGAGCTGTGGAGTAGCGGGCGTCCCAAAGAAGAGAGTCCCTGGGTGGGCATCTAGCTGGATCCTTAAGTACTAAGAACATGAAATTTCTGTCCCTCTCGCTGGTCCTGTTCGGTGACAGGCCCTGGACTTGTCGCCCAGTGTCACCGGTCCCCTGCCCCCTCACACACACACCTGCCTCCCTCCAGACTGCCCTGCCTTCCTGAGATGTGTGTGACAAGCATGTCTTTGTCCGCCCCTTTAGTTACTCCCAAGACAGTAAAGCCCCCTCCGAGTCTTGGCTGTGCCTGCTTCTGCTCTGCCCAGAGCACAGTACTCTGGACCGCCTGGCCTTTGTGCACGTGGTCCCACCCGCCTTTCTCTGCCTCCCCTCTGCAGGCCTCGGGGGCCTTCCTGACCCCTTCGCCCCCCCTCCAGGTACAGGATCCTCTGTGCTGACAGGTGTGCTGTTGTGACTGTTGGCTGCCGTCCGGTTGGCTCTGACTCCTAGAAGCCCAGTGGGACAGAATACAATTGCCCCAGAGAGCTTCTTGGCTGCAGTCTTTAGGGGCAGGTCCTTTGTCCCACAGAGCCACTGACAGGTTGAATCGCCGACCTTTTGGTTCGCAGCCGAGTGCTTAACCGCTGCGTCCCCAGGCTCCATAGGTACCTACGCAGGTATTTCAGTGTTGTGAAGGTGTGAGCGTGCAATACAGCAAGACAGATCATTTCCCGGATAGCTAAACCCATTGTCCAAATAGGGACGTGGTGACATTTTGAAATTTTGACTAGATATTTTGTCATTTTTTGTTGTTGTTGTCGTTTGTTTTAAAAAACAAGCCATTGAGAATGAAACTGGCATCCCACGCCTTGTTGCTTCATCCTCTTCCTCCACCCGCCACCCTCCCACAGGGCAGCAGTCACCAGAGCGCTCGTCTGTGCTATTGGTTGACCCACTCAACGCCCTTTCTCTGCAGGGCCCTCCAGGACCACCTGGCGTCCCAGGACCTCCAGGACCCGGAGGCCCCCCGGTAAGGCTAGAGTTGATTTCCTCTCATGGGGGCCCTGAGGTGGTGGTTTCACGGCCTGAGGCAGCCAGGACACCTCCATGGAGAACCACCTGTTTGTCCAAGACCAGAGCAAAGACATCCATGAGGAGGACCGCCCTGCGGCTCCCAAGCCTTCCAGGCTCCAGGCCCCTGAGGCCCTTGGATCAGTATATCGCTGATCTGGTGTGGCTGGCACACAGGCTGGCTGTGTCTGACGCATGGTGGAGGCTGGTGTGGGGCTGCCCGCTGCTGTGGCCCTTAGTTTGGGACTTGGCTTGCAGACAAAACGGAGGACCAAGGTTTGTCCACACGTCTCCCTCCCCATCTCAGGATGCAGGGCAGAGGTGCAGGGCCAGAGACCACACTTGCCCAGTGGGTGGGACCAGAGGCCAAGCCTGCCCAATGGGTGAGACAGACCCAGCAGGCGGCAGGGGGAGCCACTGCACCCCACCCCACTGGTAGAAACATGGAGGTACCTCAGGCTGAAGAGCACAGAGCCTCCGAAGGATGACAGCTCCACCTTTCAGTGGTGGCAGAGGATGGCTAGATGACCCAGTGTCCACCCCTTTGTACCCTTGTCACAGCCAGGGACCTGGGCCCTTCCCAGAAAGGGGCGAGGAGGGAGACCCTGACTCTGGGTGAGGTTGGACCAAGCTCCCTGTGGTGGTTTCCTTTCCAGGGCTTACCTGGTGAGATCGGCTTCCCAGGAAAACCTGGGCATCCCGGGCCAGTGGTGAGTGCCCTGGAACCTCTTGCACGTGACCTCTTCCCTCTGCGTCCTGCGTCCATGTGGGCAGTGGCCAGGCCCTCCAGCTGGCCACCAGGGCCACCTGTGCAGAGCTGGCAGGGACAAGGCCCCAGCCCTCAGACTGTTGTCTTCCTTCTGGAAGCTTCCACACTCCATCTCCAGGATTGCTCCTCCAAGAACCCTGGCCTGGGGGTGGAAGGGACACTTCCCTGCCCATCTCTCACTCCCAGACACACTCAGAGTCCTTGGTTTTTTAGTTTTCATTCCCTCTCTCACATTTGTTTTCTTCCAATTGTGGTACAAACATAAACACTAAAACATCCCAATTCAACAGTTTCTGCGCACAGAACACAGTGACATTGACTGCACTCTTTATGGCATGCAGCCCCCATCCCTGCGCTTTTCCTAATTATTCTACCACCATTGATGTAAAGTCAGTGCCCCAAAGCAAAAACCCTCTCCCCGCCTCCGCCACCTCTGGGAACCACTCAGAATCTCTGGTTCCTAGATCCTGGCTTCTTTCAGGTAAGTGAGATCACGCCGGCTTTGTCCTTTGTGACTGACTGCTCAGCATGGTGTTTTCAAGGTGCATCTGTGCTGACGTGCATCAGAACTTGCTATCTCTCAATGGATGAGTGATATTCCACTGTGCACCTGTACACTGGTCCTTTGCTTGTTGGAGGTATGATGACTCATCCGTGAGGGACACACATGGGGTAACAGATGGAGTGGACATGGAGGTGTGGGAAATGGTCTGGGATGCAGCAGGCTCTTCCTATTACTGCCACGTGAAGACCTTTCCTCACGTCCATATTCAGAAGACCCTGGGGGTCCAGGGAGACTTCAGATTTTTTGTTTTAACGTTTTGATGGTGAAGCTCAGCCAACTTTATAAAGGTTAGATGCATTCCTTTGCCATCTTGGTTCAGGGCAGAGTAACAAGTGTGAGCTATGAGTACTCTGGTACCAGGTGACCCAGGTAACTGGCTGACCAGAAGACCTGACAGTGGATGGACCACGCATACTCCCTCATGCAGCCGCTGGGCTGCAGGCCACCACTGGGGGAAGCCTGAGTTAGTCGCAGCTCCGATGGGGGAGTCAGGCAGTGGAGATGGGTGACACGGAGGTAAAGCAGGTTGCGCACTTTTCCCCATTGTCAGGAGCCATGCGTGGCGGTGGCAGGGTGAGGCACTTGGAATGGGGACCAGCAACTGCAGCAACTCCACAGTTCTGAGCTGTTGATGCCAGTGTAGCACACCAAAGGGCAGCGGATAGAAAGCCATTGTCAGGTGAACCAGAACAAACCCGGGGCTTCTGGTCACAGCAAGTGCTCCATGATCACACGGCCAGCTGCAGCACCGCAGCACACATCGACCACACAGTGATCCACAGTGTCTCTGGTGGGCCGGCATTTTCCTAGAGTGACACTGTCGTCCGAGAGTTCACACACATTAGCGGTCTCATCTCACCTAATCAGTTCATCGGAAAGCATGCGTATCATTGTGACCATTCAGAGGAGGGGAGAGGTTGGTGAGAAGAAAACGGGATGGTCCAGGATGGTTCCGGTTGATCAAAGTGAGCGTATGCTAACTAAACGCCGGAAGCACTGGCCTGGCCTTCGTATTTGCTCTTCATCCAGAGCATGCGCCCACTTACCCCAGTTTCTTACCCACCCACCCTGCCAGAAAGCAGCCCCTCTCCACCCTCCTAGAGGCCTGAGCTCCCAGGACACCTGCTCCCAACAGCCCTCCCTCCCAGGCTGCAGACAGGGGGAGACATGAGTCTTAAATTGGGTAGCGGGGGTTCCGTGGGGAGAAGGGTCACCAGGCAACCCATCACTCACTCACTCACTCTTGAGGAGCACTTTACAGCTGCACAGGTCCTCCTGGTAATAGCGTCTGAGAAGCCCTGTTGGTGAGAGAAATGATTTCTCTATGACCATAACATGGGGATATTTCCCACATGCATCATGTGAGGTGCAGAGAAAAAGGAAAAGATAACCATCTCTGGTGCACTGGAGGAGCCCTGCGGGTAGAGCCAGGGCCCTGGGCTTAAGCCTTCAGGGTCCCCGGTACTGACCCTGAGGCCTTTGCCTGGTCTCCTGCAGAATGCCTGCAGTGGCACTTGTCCTTGCCACCTCTCAAGGGTGGGAGTGGAGGAACCTCCTTGTGTTGGAAAACATGATACAGGGAACCTTGTTATCATTAGAGGTCCTGAGTGGTGCAAAAGGTTAAGCGCCTGACTGCTAGCTAAAAGGTTGGCAGTTTGAACCACCCAGAGGTACTTTGGAAATTAGGCCTGGTTATCTGCTTCCAAAGGTCAGAGCCTTGAAAAGCCTGTGGGGCAGTTCTATTCTGCACGTAGAGGGTGGTCATGAGTCGGAACTGACTCGACAGTAGCTAGCAATGCTGTTGTCCTTAGAATTAAAGGACGGAATAGAATAATGCCATGTCAGTTGCATTTTTCAAGGAAATGGAAAGAGAAAAGAACATTGAGAAGGGAGGAAAAAGAAAAGACAGATTATGAAGAGGACAGAATGGCAGTGATGCAGGTGGTAGTCTCCAAAGGGGTATCTCAGAAGCTAGGGGTAGAAATAGAGCCATCAAAAACAGATTCAACAGATGGCCAGCCCCCTGTCACCCACACACATCCAGGCCCTGGAAACAGGACATTGACCAGGGGTATTATTTTTATGTAAGGAAGTGATGGTCTGGCAGAGGTCCCCCATTCTGGAGACAGTGTATCCAAGAAAGGACGGGAAGTCTGTGATTCTCAGTTCCAGCTGCAAAAGCAGCTCCTGGCTTGACACAATGGAATGCAATGCCTCCCTAAATGTGCCTTCTAACGTTGATTGTTTACTCTCCCATTGGCACAGGGGTCACCGGGAAAGGATGGGCTAAACGGAGTGCCAGGCCTGCCAGGACCCAAGGTGGGTATGCACAGGGTCGGCATGCATTTGGAACCCAAAACACACATGCAATAGGGATTCTAGGCTTTTGGAGGGTTTTAAAATAAATTGACTACCTGGGCCCTAGATTGGGACTAGTTTGAATCATTTGGATTTACAAGATCAGACATGGGTTCTTGTTGTTATTAGGTGCCATTGACTCGTCTCTGACTCATAGTGACCCTATGTATAACAGAATGAAACACTGCCCGGTCCTGTGCCAGCCCCACGATCCCTGCTACACCTGAGCCCATTGTTCCAGCCACTGTGTCAATCCATCTCATTGAGGGCCTTCCTCTTTTTCTTCGACCCTCCACTTTACCAAGCATGATACCCTTCTCCAGGGAATGGTCCCTTCTGACAACATGACCAAAGTAGGTGAGACGAAGTCTGGTCATTCCTTCTTCCAGGGAGCACTCCAGCTGTACTTCTTCCAGGACAGATTTGTTAGTTCTTTGAGCAGTCCATGGTACTTTCATCATTCTCCACCAACACCAGAACTCAAAACCATCAACTCTTCTTCAGTCTTCCTTATTCATTGTCCAGCTCTCATATGGATAAGAGGCGATTGGAAATACCATGGCTTGTTTCAGGCACACCTTAGACTTCAAGGAGATATCTTTGCTCTTCAGCACTTGAAAGAGATCTTTTGCAGCAGATGTGCCCAATACAATATGTCATCTAATATCTCAACTGCTGCTTCCATTGATGTTGATTGTAGATCCAAGTAAAATGAAGTCTTTGACAACTTCAATCTTTTCTCCATTTATCATGATGCTGCTTATTGGTCCAGTTGTGAGGACTTCTGTTTTCCTTATATTGAGGTATAATCCATACTGCAGACTGTAGTCTTCAATCTTCATCAGTGAGTACTTCAAGTCACCTTCACTTTCAGCAAGCAAAGTTGTGTCGTCAGCGTATTATAGGTTGTTAATTTTTCTTCCTCCAATCCAGATGCCACGTTCTTCTTCGTATAGTCCAGCTTCTTGGATTATTTGTTCAGCGTACAGATTGAACAACCCTGACACACTCCCTTCTTGATTTTAAACCATGCAGTGTCCCCTTGTTCTGTTCAAATGACAGCCTCCTGGTCTATTACATTTTCCTCATGAGTACAACTAAGTGTTCTGGAATTCCCATTCTTCTCAATGTTATCCATAATTTGTTATGATCCACATAATCAAATGCTTTTACATAGTCAGGAAAACACAAGTTAATTATCTTTCTGGTATTTATTTTCAGCCAAGGTCCATCTGACATCAGCATTGATATCCCTTACTCCATGTCCTCTTCTGAATCCAGCTTGCATTTCTGGAAGTTCTCTGTCACTATACATACTGCTGCAACTGTTTTTGAATTATCTTCAGTAAAATTTTACTTGCATGTGATATGAATGATATTGTTCAATAATTTGCACATTCTTTGGGATCACCTTTCTTTGGAATGGGTACAGCTATGGATGTCTTCCAGTCAGTTGGTCAGCTAGATGTCTTCCAAATCTCTTGGCGTAACCAATTGAGTGCCTCCAGTGTGGCATTCGTTTGTTGAACCATCTCAGTGAGTATTCCATCAATTCCTAGAGCCTTGTTTTTCACCAATTCCCTCAGTGCAGCTTCAACTTCTTC